GTAGCCAGCCAACACGCCAACGACCTCCAGCAATGGCCGTAACGCACATGACTAGTGGATTGAGCCAAAATGGCTAGATTTATGGCCAGAACTGGTCATCATTACAACCAAAGTTTTAGTCGTAGTTAAAGGTTAGAGTTCTTGCCACAAACAAATCCTAATCCACCCAATAGCACAAGTTCTATAATATACCCAACAACGATATAGCATACTCATCTTACATTTTCACAACAAACGAAATGCAAGAAGCCTTGAGACCGACCCAGAATGCAGTTGATGTCATTTTATTGTAGAGTTCACAGTCAAAGCCATCAGGGACCTTGATAATGATAATCTTTAACGGATCAAATTCCTGCAATAAAATGAAAGCAAACTAATACACCAAAACCCATAAAATCTCCAAAACCACAGATCACCGAACCCAAACAATGGTTGTAACAATGGTGGTACGGGTGGCTGTTGAATTGGTATGGGTGAGGGTGGACTGCGCTGAATGAAAAACAAAAGTAAGGGATTAGAAATTGAAAAGCAAGGATTGGGTACTGATATAGTTTCTGTAAACGTGCCTATTGGGTGGGGTGAAACGGTGGCTGAATCAGTGAGGATGGAGGAGAATGGACAGGAATGGTTGCTGCAGCGCGCTGTGAGTGGCAGAATCCGTGAATTTGGGGTGAGAATGCTGTGCAAGTGATAAACTTGGAGGCGTGAAACAAGAGACAGCGATATGTAATGAACTTACCATTTTAACCCTTTTGTATTTGAAGCGTAAGTAACAGAGTTAGGTGAGACTTGAGAGGTGTAGTAGGGACTAAGGATGCATTTGGATTGGGGCATATAATATAAGATAACGGATAATCTTCATTTATTTTGCCAGATTCTAGTATTTGGTCTATAAGTAATAAAATATTAGGAAAATTTTTTATTACAAATAGTATTTACTATTGGTAATGTAGAGGGTAGTCTGATACCCTCCATCACCCATGGGATTAAAGCATTACCGAATAATCTGATTTTTATACCTATTTTGCCTTTAATTAAATATCATTTCGGACACAGTTACCCTTAAATGTCTATCAAATAACAATTACCCAACCCCCCCTACATTTGAGAAATTAGCTAAAACACCCAGCCGCAAAAAAATTTAAAAATTAACAAAATACCCCTAGCCACCCAAGACCACCTCTAGCTGTTACTCACCGTCGCCATCCACAGGCATCAGTCACCGTAATGGTGCACGACCTATAAGATTTGGCCGTTTCTATGGTTGTTTCACGACCACATCTTTGGTCGTTAAACAGCCATGGATTTGTGATTTATGGTCGGAAAGGGCTTTGCTTGTGCACGACCAGCCATATACGGCCAGTCGTGCGCCATTCCATCAAATGCCGACAGGGCTGACGGTTGTGACTGGTTGTCGGCAGTGTGCTTGGGGTGGGTGGAGGTGATTTTGCTACAAATTAAAGTTTTATATGGTTGGGGTGTTTTAGCAAAATTTCAAATGTAAGGGGTTAAAAGAAATCATTCAAAAATTAATATTATATTAATATTTTAAAAGGAAGGCAATTTAGTAATCTATATAACATACCCACTCCTTTATCCTCCCAACCAAACATATTATTTATCAATTTATTCGAACTAACCAAACACATTTTCAAACCATCTCCAGTAATCTTCAAGGTGATCTATCTTTTCGTTAATATAACATTCTCCTACAATAAAACATTATATAATCCAAACGCCCCCTAAGGGATATGTTTTTTAAAGTGTAAGGGATAACTTTGATAAAAAATGGTAAAATCATCTTTTGGATATAAAACTACAAGGGTGTTTTTGGTTCAAAGAATGTTGTATTACTGAAAATGGTCATTTGGATAAAGGGTATATAAGATAACGGGGTAATCTTCATTTATTTTGCAAGATTTCAGTGCCTGGTTTGCAAGTAATAAAATATTACAGTAATCTTTTATTATAAATAGTGTTTACTGTTGGTAATGTGGAGGGTAATCTTAGTACATTGTTAGGGGGTGTTATTAAAACACTACTAGAGTAATATGATTTTTCTACCCATTTTGCCCTTGATTAAAAATCATTTTGGACACAATTGCCCTCAAATGTCTACCAAATAACAATTAGCCCAGCCCCTCTACGTTTGAGAAATTAGCTAAAACACCATAGCTACAAAAAAGTTTAAAAGTTAACAAAATACCCCTAACTAGCCAAGACCACCACTGGCTGTGACTCACCAGCACCTGCCACCGACGTGAATCTCCGTAATGGTGCACGAGCGACGAGATCTGGCTAATTGTGCACCGAAAACGGCCAGATATGGTGTTTCTATGGCCATTTCACGACCAAAGATGTTCACGACCACATCTTTGCCCGTGAAATGGCACGACCAAAGATATGGCCTTTTCACAGCCATATTTGTGGCCGTTTCACAGCCACATCTTTGGCCGTGAAATGGCCATAGATCTGGTTGTTTTTCGGCTATGGATTTGTGATCCATGGCCATTTTTTGCTTTGCCGACGCACGACCAGCCATATACAGCCAATCGTACACCATTCTGTTGACTGCTGGCAATTGGTTGGGGTAGGTGGGGGTGATTTTGCTACAATTAAAGTTTTATATAGCTAGGGTGTTTTAGCAAAATTTCAAAAGTAGGGGGTTAAAAGATTTTTTCAAAAAATAATAATAAAAAATACAATTGTATTAATATTTAAAAAAGATGGCAATTTAGTAATCTATATAACATACTCACCCATTTATCCTCCCAACCAAACATATTATTCACTTATTTATTCGAACCAACCAAACAAATTTTCTAAACATTCCCAGTAATCTTCAAGGTGGTATTCTTTCTGTTAATATAATATTCTTCTATAATAAAACATTATATGATCCAAATGCCCAAAAATGTTATATTAATGGAAAGTTAGAATACGTAGAAGATTACTGGGAATGTTTAGGGAAATATGTTTGATTGGTTGGAATAAATTGGTAAGTATGTTATATTAATATATTTGATTGGAATAAATAAATTGGTGGGTATGTTATATAATTTACTAAATTACCCTCTTTTTTTAAATATTAATATAAATTATTTTTATTATTATTATTTGAATCATTTCATGTAACCCTCTACATTTGAAATTTTGCTAAAACACCCTAGCAACAAAAAAAGTTTAAAACTTAGCAAAAACACCCTCATCCACCCCAAGCCACTGCCGATAGCTAGCCACCAGCGTCGACGACCTCCAGCAATGGCCGTAACGGTGCATGACTAGCTGGATTGAGCCAGAAATGACTAGATTTACGGCTAGAACTGGTCGTCGTTAACAACCAAAGTTTTAGTCATAGTTAAAGGCTAGAGTTCTGGCCATTGACAGCCAAAACTTTGGCTATTAGTTTTGGCTGTTGACAGCCATAATCTGGCTGTCTAACAGTTAATGGCAGCCATAAGTCGCAGATCTAGCCAAAAAAGGCATAATAGATATAGCCGTATCTGGCAAGATCGACTCACAACCGGCCATTTCCAGTTGGTAATGTGCATTTTCGACGCCTGCTGGCAGTCGTCAGCGGTGGTGGTCGACGGTTGGTGATTGGTGGTGGTGGCCAGATCCAGCTACCACACTTGGGTAATTTTTTTAAAGTCTAGGGGTACTTATGTCCTAAAAAATTTGTATATGAGGATAAAATAGTCATGAATATATTTGTAATTGTTTTCAAATTGAGGGCATTATTGTCCAAAAATGTTAATAGTTAAGGTTAAAATTGTAACAAAATTAAGATTACTAATTAATCTTAAAATACCTAAGAAAATGGAGGTAATCAGATTACCTCATATATTACCAACAATAATTATTATTGGTTTTGAAAAATTACTGGAATCTTATATTACTTGATAACCAAACGTGGTAATAAAGTAATATAAGATTACATCGCCTCAGTAAAGGGAGATTACTCCCAATTAAACACACCATAAGGGTGAAATTTTATCATTATATACAATTTTTTTAGAACATAAATTTCTCTGGACTTTAAAAATATCCAAGGGTGGTGGCTAAATCTAGCCACCATTGTCGATGGCGACGAAATGAAGCACGATCAGCCGAATCTAACCGATCGTGTGCCGTTAAGGCTGTTTTAGAAACATCAAGATTTGGTCGTGAAACACATATTTTGCTTTTTAATCCAAATAAGATAATAGAAAAATGATTCTAAAGAGTGAAACAAACAAGGGCTAAACCTTCAGGATAGTTTACGATAATATCTCATTTGGGTATTGCTGGAAAAGGATTAATACTAGCGATATTGTCTATAAGCCACCCTTAGATTTCCGTTTTCAAAATTTAGATCCCAACTTTTATCAGAGATACCCGTCTCAATCTTAAAACTATATCATTGACACTTTCCCAACTATGTTCCATTAACGTTACTGTCAAAAAATTAAATTACAATAACACCCTTACTTTTGTTTTTAATCAATGAAAAGTGAGTTGAAAAGTAATACAATTAACGTAATTAATAAGGTATAAAGTTTACCATCAAACCCGTCAAATTCATATGAAATAATTCTAATACTTTCTTAAATCTTATAATCAAATTTCTTTTGTAAGAAGCTTTAATAAGCTCTTTTCTTATATAAGTTGTCCCAACCTTTGATATCAAAGATCAGATGTACTCACATCAGTTGTAATATAAACAAGTTCACACTGATATATCATATACAAGTGTTGTCAGCTCTTAAAAGCAAGTTGAATCTGGCCATAGAAGCAGAGTTCATTATTTGATTAATTTTCTTTGTAGTTTATATTTGTTCTAATTACAGTATGAATCCTTAAAACAATGCTTATCCCCGATATGCATAGGCTATAATTGTTTTAGTTTTGTTTAAATAACATAATTTATCTTGTAAACTTGTATTTATTTTTTATTTAAAAAAAAAAAAAAAGATAAATGATATTCATCAATTACCTCATGCACTACTTGCATATATAACTCAATCTATAATTATGCGAGAAATATATATAATAAGCCATAATAGCCTTCAACTCTTATGAAACTCTCCCCGAAAGCTAAAAACAAACCTATACATATATAAAACATAAAGCCTCTTTCAAGTTTTCTTCAAGACCAATATTCTCTCAAACCTTAACCCCTATCCGTCGAGCAACCTGCATTAACAAATTGTAATTAGACCACACTTCAGAGAAAAAGCAAACTTGGCACCAAAAAAAGTCTCGTTGTTAGATTTAACACTTTAACACTACAGCTAATCACGTTGAATCAGTGACACCAACATCACAATAATGCAAGTATTGATGAACAAGTACAAAAAACTTGCGGGTTATTGTTACTAAAATTGTATTCGATAATGGAAAACATGATTTAGATTAATTATGAATTGACATCAAAATTATTCGTTAGAACCACAGTTACCAAGCGTTGGAAACTTTCAAATGAAATGAATAATGACAATAGTAACAATACAGTCAAGATTCTGGAAACAGATACATAACATACAATGTCATGATCTGATCCTCTCTAACTTTCCCTGTCCATTTTCACTTCTTTTTAGTTAAAAATTAGAACGTACCTCCTTAAAGGAATGAACATCACTTCCCCAAAGCCAAGCATCGCAACCTGCATCTCTGGCACCCCACACATCATTCCTACGATCATCTCCTACATGCACTGCATCCTCTGGGTTTACTCCCAATAACTCACAGGCTTTTAGAAATATCGTTGGATTTGGCTTCTCTGCTTCAACCTGTTTACAAGACAACAGAAGAATCATCAATCATATTCCTAATATATATGTTCCTAAATGTACAAGAAAAATTATACTTTAGTTGCAACCATATTTATAAATCATTCAGAAGTATAACAATGATCTTTAACCAAACACAACTTTAATATTGCATTATATTCTGAATATCACAGGGTGAGATAAGATATATAGATAGTTTTCCAACACTTAAAAAACAAGCTGGAATGGATTCATTCAAGTATAAGTTCATTAAAATTATTCAATTTAACCAAAAATAATTTAATTTTCCTTGAGATGATGCCAAAATTGACAGAAAAATCATACCAATGAATACAGAGATTGCAAGAAACTTATGCAAATTATCTGTCAGCTTGTAAAAACTTAAAAAAAAAAAAAAAAAAAAAAAAGTCTTAATTAATAGAGAAAAAAAAGGTTACTTGAATCAACTATGTATGTCTTCCATGTTTCAATTGCAACATGCTAAGAAGTAAAAGAAAGTAGGCATACTCTTCATACATTTGCTTTTTTGCATAAAACATTTTTCAGAGTAACTAAGAGAGGTCTTCACAAATACTTACTTCAGCTGACACTGCAACGGCATCGAACCAATGATCACAATCAAGAGCACGCAATACAGGCCTTAATCGAGTATCAAAATTTGACACAACAGCCAATTTGACACCTGCTTTTCTGATAGCATTAAATACTTTCTCAGCTTCAGGATCACATAGGTGCCAAGCCTATCAAACAAGATTTAAAAAACAAAGGAAAATGGGAAAGGTAATAAGCCATCAACAATTATGATTGCAATGCAAAATTCAAAAAATGGAAAGAAAATACTGACTACCCTACCTTTTCAGTTGTATAGTAGTTATAAAGTTCTTCAAAGTACTGAGAGTCTGAACAGCCAGTGGATGAACTGACTATAAATTGCCAGAAGGGTCTTCCATCATTCACATATCTGCAAGGATTTTTTGAAAATACATCCATGTCAAGGGTAAAGAGGGAGAAAAAGGTCCTGCGAATTTTTGCAATTGAAATAATATGATACAAGAGGTTTGGATTTATCAATTCTGCAGAAATTGATGCGATGTCATGGAAACTTATGCGAATTTATCCTTGAGCAAAAGAATTGCATACAATGCAAACATACGAGTCTATTTATTATCACCCTTCATCAAGTAAGATTTTAAGATGACATGAGTATACTATCCCCTACAAGATTAAAACATTTTACGAAACTATTGGATTTTGATCCTTAAAAGAGAATGAGAAAGAACATCAACAAACCACATCAAATTCAGAAACCTTAGATCTATAGTAGATAGACGTCTCAAAGGAACCTTCATGAGAGGATAATATCATCAAATTAATTTCAGAATAAAGTTATCTAGGCAAAATTATTTTTAAATCACCTAGGGCAATAATTCTTAGGATTGCTATTAAGAAGAACCAAAAAGAAATAATGGGAGGGAACGAATTACAAATCAACTCCACAAATACTTGGTCACATAGCATCTAAAATTTCCTGAAATGCTCAGATATAAGAATAATAATTATGCAACTACAATTTAGTTTTAACAGTTTCATCTTACTATGCTATCAAATTCATCTTATTATTCACCAAGTTGATTTTCTTATACCAATTTGAATAGGATAGTTGATAAACTATATCCATGGATCTAAGCACATACCATCACCAAAAAAAAAAATTATTTATTTATATAGAATGATTTGTAGGATACTTAAGCATTCAAACAAATCATCAAAGTTTAGCAAAAAAAATGCTTATTGCATAGACAAGAGCCAAACAACACATCAATGTGTATGCCTTTCCACTGCAACATGTTTGCCCTTTATTGTCCATATAATAATAATAAAACAGTGATCTGGGAACGCTTCAATCAACCATATGTCATTAAAAAACAAGCCAAAAAGCATATTACCATTCTTTTAATTCAAACATCAATGAGAATTAACACTTACAATTCCCAAATTTTACGTGGATAAAAATAATAAATAAAACATTAATGATCTGGGAATGGTTCAATCAACCATATGTCATCAGAAAACAAGTCAACAAGCACATTACCAATCTTTTAAACCAAATATCATAGAGAATTTCCACTTACAATTCCAAGATTTACTGGTAGAATAAAAAATATATAAAAAAAAACTATAATTTTTGTATTAAAACTGTTCTAAGATACACAATTTAGCATGGAAAAACCACAAAAGATTGCACAAAACAGGGAAAAATCACTGAAGAAGAGGGAAATGTTATGCAAAGACAGAAGCCCAAATATATGATCATGTTACAGACTCTAAAAAAGCACACATATGATAGGAAAAATCATGCATAATTTGCATAAAAATAAAATAATAAAAGACCTGAGACGAGATTTGCCCCATGGCTGCTCATACCTTCGGTATCTGTTCAATATCTCAATCTCTGAATACGCCACCCCATACTTCTCCCCTCTCTCTATATATCTAATCAGACGAAAAGAGAGAATCAAACTAATTAAGGAAACAAAATTCAGAACAACTGAAGCAATGCAAAATTAAAAATAAAAGATATAAACCTTGGCCATGGCTGAGAGGGAACAAGGAGAGTACCAACAGCGTCAACAACAAGGCCTTGTGGCTGATCTCACCGTAAAGAGACCTCCTGTAATCTTCATAATCTTTTACTCCAAAGATGTCCAACCCAACCCCTATTGCTTCTTTTGAAGCAGCGGCGGAAGAAGAAGAATAATGATGGGGGGGAGATTGAGGCATGAGTGTGGGATTTCGGGTTCAGACTGATTTGTATAAGCCTAGAGAGTTTGGTTCTGCTGCCATTAGAGCCATTGTGATTTTCATTTGGTTCTGGGTTCAGTTGATTTTAGGATTTCAGTGTCTGGACTCTGGGGAGGTGCCATGAATAACGAAGGCAATCACATCACAACTTATCTCATCTTTCCAGTCAAATTTATAAAGTTTTAAACTTTTTTTTTTCATAATTATTATTAAAGGAATAAATAGATAAATGATGGACTTTAGAAATTTTGTCCTATGTTAATTTTTTATAACTAAAATATGAATATTATCAATCAGGATATAAAAAATTTTAAAAACTTTAATGAAATACCAAGGTGACAAATCCTACGATTAAGGGATATTTAACAGTGATTTGTTTTAACTTTAACGAAAATATAAAAAGACTTAGATGCTAATAATCTAGTTCTTAAATATAAATTCTAAAATTAAAAGGACCCAAAAGTTATTTTTAGAAAAGGAAGAAAAAATAAATTTAACATTAAATTAAAAGAAAATTAAATAAAAGGAAAGTTTTCATAAAGAAAGCTCTTTCTAGCCTTTTTTTTTTTTTTTTTCAATTTTTCTTCTATATTTAGCATTTTTTCCCTTTTTAGTAACCAATTTATTTTTTAAAAATATATGATAAAATGTATACTATTACAATTATAGTTACAAAAGTCATCAATTTGTTATTCAAAAAACAAATTTCTTCAAATTTTCTAATTTCACAAAGGATAAATCAATTTAGGTACATTTTATTATAAATATTAAAATGATATAAATTTCAACTAAATAATAATTTGATTCAATTTAAATTTTAGTAGCAATTGAACAAAATTACTATTTAATGTCCCTAAATTAAACAAATTATAACTTGTGTCAATTTTCTAACATTTCATAAAAAAATTATACCTGTAATAATAATATCCCTTTCACAACAAATTTATCGACTGTCTCCTCAATATCGGCCGCCTCTAATTTTGGTTTGTGGCAAAATGTTTATGTGTAAAACAAACAAACCCCTCAACTTGTATTTCTTTAGTATTTACTTATGAGTTATGATTGCTGTATATGTATGACAAAACCTTTGGACAAAAGAGAATAACAAAACTCATACAACTTTAATGAAATATTTATATTCTTTTTTTTATATTAAATAAAAATTTTTTTTGAAATGACAAATATGCTCATATTATTAATTTTAAGTATTAAAATAAATAGTAAAAGGCATTTTTGATAAATTTTATTCAATTAAGTATTGTAAGTTCTGAAGACTCATTGATGGTTCACTAATAGTAAGGGATTGTTTTTATTTCCAAAAACCATAGGGAAGTCTTTACTATTACATTAATTCTCAGGGGAGTCTAGTTCTTTAAATTCATAAGCTAGTTTGTATGTATGTAATTAAAATAATAGTAATTATTTTAAAAAAAATTAATTTTATATCTTTCAGATTAGAAATATATTTTAAAATGCTCTTTATTTAATTAAACTACGCAAAATACATAAATGTCAAGTTGCCCTAATCTCTATCATCCAAATGCTTTGATTTGAGTTTTGTATCATGAACTAACAATATATTTTAAATACTCTTTTTTTTTTTTTCCTTGATGTGGAAAAAAGTTACTTTAAATTAACTCATTAATTTTTAACAACATATATTCAATATTACAAAAAAAAAAAAAAACAAAATCATTAATTTGTAACTTCTAAGGACAGAAACCAGAACTTCTGTATTAACCTTTAAAATTGCTGGCTACCCTTTATCTTATAATTGGTTAGTTTGTTCCTTTACTTCTTGTTTTAAAATGGTACATTCCCGAAAATTTATAGCTCGATCAACTATATTGAAAACTTAAATAACTATCTTATTATCATATAATTGAGGTTATTTCTTGATATATTATATACCTCGATACCATTTTAAGAATTTGTAGTGAACAGTTCAATAATATTAGAAAGATTTTCTACTTTCTCCAAGGATTTAGTTAAAAACTAAATAGAACTTATTGATTTAAAACTGAAAAGAAATCTCTTCTTAAAAAATATAAATGATAATAAAATTCCTTGAATTTATCAAACATTCCTGAAACTTTTAATAAATTATTAACGAATATGTTTTATAAGAGATCAAAATTCACATATAAAATTTAACTGTTTTCATATAATTCTACAGGAGTTTAATAAAATTATTTTGCACAATAAAAAAGGTGAAAATTAAATAGAATTATGTGGCTCACATTGAGAAGAGAAAAATAAGACTTTTAGAATTGTTAACGTCATCGATTTCAGCCACAAGAACTAGATGGTAACGATAAAAACAAAACCACAAATCTCTGTATTATTGCTATATTGAGTGGGACATTAAGAACACTAGACTTAGACAAATTTTGCTGCAGTTAATATAAGATTAAACGACGTTGCCACCCAGGTTTGACGAAATCTCAAGTGAGTACCACAGTTCCATTTATTCCAGATTTCCACCCTTAAAGTGACGGAAAAACGTTGATATAACGGTAAAGGGTAAATTGGTCATTTTACATGGGCGCGCACGTTAGCAGACCACCGCTTGTACAGTCCTCCGGCACACGTTAGCGACCACCGCCGGTAACTTTTTCGCTCTTTTTCGGCGATTTTTCCACCCAAAATCACCCTTGTCACCACCATTTGACTCCTCCAATCCTCTCCTACAAAACCCCTAACGTTTCCGCCACAGCAACTCACCGTTGCCGTCCACCGCTTCATCGAAAAACGGCCGAAGAACACGAACTCTAGCTGGCGAATGACGACGAGACGGCTGCTGGGGACATGGGATTTTATAGATCTGGATACGGTGGTTTCATTGGTGTGTGTCCAATTGGATTTTCACCGCCGGAATCGACCAGAATCCGGTGAAGAACATCAAAACCCTAAGTCTAACGGTGCCGGCGATTGGAGGGGCAAATGAGTCGGGAATTAGAGGGGTTTTGGACGATGGAATACGGGGAAGCTGATGGAGTGACCAGGACTTTCGACGTCATCGGAAACGCCCAGATCGGCTGTTTCCAATGAGGGTGTGTATGACTGGGGGTGTTTTTGATATATTTGAAAAAAATGGTAAGTTTATAATTCTAATAAATTAGGGTTTTAAAACATAATTTATTAATTTAGGGTTAGGGGGTATTATGGTAATTGCACGTCCTAAACCCTAAAGTTCATAACACTGTTACTTTAAGAGTGAAAATCTGAATAAATGGAACCTGTGGTACTCACCTGTGATTTCGTCAAACCTGGTGTGGAATATGTCGTTTACTCGTTAATATAATAATGACAGTGAGGCCCACGTATCACAACTAACATGGAAAACGAGTCCGAACCACGGTTTGGCATACGTAGAGTACGAGTTTGCATAATTGGGCCCTTTTGTTTTCACCTGCACCCGACCTTACCTGTTTTAAACGGGGCGAATCGAGTACACCCTCGGGTGCCCATATTTTCTTTTTAATTTATCCTAAATCCCTAATTCCTTAATCCAACTACAAACCACTGCCAACGCCGCCCCGCCGACTGTTTCGCTTTGATTCTCGCAGATTTCTCACCAAACACAGGGAAATCAACACCCTAACCTTGATTGCTTGGTCCCCTGCCTGATTGACTGATTTTTTTGGCTGGATTTGGCCTTTTTTTTTCCGATCGCACGAAGCTTCATCTCAGACCTGATCTGGCCATCCCCAACGTCGTTGGCCTTCACTGTCACTACCACTAATATCGCCATCCTCCATTGACCAAAACCCCCAAGGTTCCTGTCTTATTGATCCCTCTATTCGCTGGCTGCTGCCAAGTTAGGGTTTTTCCCTTCTAAGCCGGATTCTGGTAGATTCCAGTAGCCAAAATCACTCATACACCACCCTAGACTCATCGGTTTCCCCTTTACAAACCCCATAACCCTAGCACCTGGTAACTCGCCGATTGCCGCCCTCGACATCGCTGCTTGCCGCCGCGTTTGGGTTTCTGTTTTCGTTCGTTTTGGCTTCATTTTGATTGGCTTTTGGTTTGTTGGATTATTATTTGTTTGTTGATTGCTTTTGGTTGTAATTTTGGGCTACACAACCACCAACGGCTGCCGTTTTTTTTTCTCCTACCGACGCACACCAAGTGTTCCAGGTTATCCTAACCAGCTTGCTTGCCTCAAGCACACAAGCACATTCCACCCACCTACCATCCCTCACCAAGCCTCACAAACACTTTCTTAGCCATCCCCCGCCTTCTACCATTGCCCACGACCAACTGCCACTTCGAAATAAATTCAAACAATGAATTTGCAATAGTTGATTGTAGGGTTGTGATTGTAACAAATGAAAAGTGTAGGAATTATAGGGGTGTGACTGTTAAAATTCAAAACTATATACAACAGTAACAGGTACCCGCTGGTCCACCAGAACCCGTATAGGGTATGGTGTAGGTCCAATTTTTTGGGTCTGTTAAGATCGACCTGTTTTGGACCTGTACTTGTGGGACTCGAACCTATTTGCACCAGGCCATTACCGGGCCCACCCACCCATTTGGCCAAGTCTAATCAGAACATTTTAGATTTGAGTTGTGTTATGCAAGCTGTCAGCTGAGCTCGGTTGAAATTTGAAAAAAATCTTGGTTTGTGGCGAGCCAAGTTAGCTCGTGAGCAGCTCGTTTGAATAATCGAGCTGAGCTCGATCAGCATGTAGCTCAACTCGATGAGCTCACGAGCCTGAAGTGGCTCGCATTCGCTAGGGCATTTTTGCAACTATTAGAAATTATGGGGGTTATGTGTAACTAAACGTTATGTTTAATCCTAAACAGTTGTAAATATGACTATTCGCCCGCCCAATGTAACAAATAATAAAACATTGAGAATCGGTTGAAACGAAAATCCATAAATCAAATTAGAGTTAAACGAGAGGAAGAACCTATCCCTAAATCAAGAAATATCGGATTAGTCATTGATACAGTTGAAGTTGTCCAAGTTTTGCCCTTCTTCTCGTTGACAAATTCGCCATCGACACTGTCTATTGCTCTAATCTTGTAGATAGTCGTTTCAAGAGTTACCACAAAGTCGGTTTAATTCTGAAATTACTTTCATTTCAGCGACTTCAGTCGACGAGGTGTGCAAAGGTATAAACCCTAAATTTCAGTAATT